AAGGACCATCCGTGAAGAAGACAGCCCAAATGAGAAAGTTCTAATAGACTGTTCAGAGCCCAACTGGTCTTGTGTTTGTTGTCCCCTCCCCACTCCTTCCTCTCCCCCAGCCCCCAACCCAATATAAGCTCCATGATAGCACAAAGCTCATCTGGCTTGTTTTCAGATATCTTCACAATGTCCAAACTATGTCTGAAACACAGCAAGTGCCAAAGAAATATTTGTTGAATGACTGTGTGTGTGAGCACTGATAATAGAGGCTGTAGAGTTTGCTATGAGAGCATCAAAGAGCTCTTTGCTAACTCTGCCCTATGAGTTAGAAGTTTCTCAGCAAGGGTTATTTAAATTGGGCCTTGATCGGTATATAGGAGTTCAATAAGTGGAAAAAGAAGTAAAAGGACAACCAGGGGACGTCCCTGGTTAGTCCAGTGGTTAGGAGTCCATCTGCCAATGCAAGGGTGTGATCCCTGGTCTGGAAAGATGCCACATGCTGAGGAGCAACTAAGCCCGTGCACACCTACTCAGCCCATGCACCCTAGAGCCCACACTCTGCAACAAGAGAAGCCACCACAATGAGAAGCCCATGCGCTGCAACTAGAGAGCAGCCCCCGATCGCTGAACCAGAGACAGCCCGTGTGCAGCAAAAAAGACTCAGAGCAGCCAATAAACAAATAAATACATTTTTAAAAAAGGACAGCCACTGGGGTCAGTATTTCTGAAAACATGGAGGTGAGTTCAGGAAACATCAAATAATTTGGGTGTGATAGGAATGTAGAGTGCAGGGGAGAAAAGAATGAGAAGATACAAGGATGGGGAGATAGAAAGGGCTGTCAAAAAGTCATTATTAAAATCTGACCATAAAGAAGGTTGAGCGATGAAGAACTGATGCTTTCGAATTATGGTGCTGGAGAACTCTTCAGAGTCCCTGGGACAGCGAGGAGATCAAACCAGTCAATCCTAAAGGAAATCAACCCTGAATATTTACTGGAAGGACTGATGCTGAAGCTCAAATACTTTGGCCACCTGATGCAAAGAGCTGACTCATTGGAAAAGACCCTGATGCTGGGAAAGACTGAGGGCAGAAGCGGGCGACAGAGGATGAGATGGTTGGATTGCACCACCGACTCAATGGACTTGAGTTTGAGCAAACTGTGGGAGATAGTGAAGGACAGGGAAGCCTGGCGTGCTGCAGTGTGTGGGGTCACAAAGAGTTGGATACAAGCAACTGAACAACAGAATCTAACCACCTGCCTGGATGTAATACTCTGGAGACGATAGTGTTTCCAGCCCTTACTGTTGCCCTGGGAAGGTCCTTCCCTTCAAAAATTAAAGGTCTTATCCAAAAGGGAGTTAAGGGTCTAGTACCCCTTGAGAAAGGGGACAGTCATGCCTCATAGTTTCTGTAGTTGCCTCAAGTTGGGATAAGGGTGGGACAAGACACCTCCTAGTCTTGGGTGGGTGCTACCTGCTGCCCCCTCGTGGCCTCAGTAGAATTGAGCAGCAAGGAGGCTGGCCAGGTGGTCTTTTTTTTTTTTTTCATAATCCCAGGAGTCCCTGGTCTCCAGCATCACCCTCTGGGAGTTATCCCAACCACCAGCTGTCCACTGACCAGATCTAATTGCTGTTTATTCCATGCATACTCAAGGCTTCACCAATGGGTTTCGGGAGACAGAGCAAAATGAGACCATTCATATTTAGTAAAGTCTTGTTCTTTCTTACACACACACACACACACCCACCACCAGCACCCTTGGCCAGAAAGCAACCATGTATGCAGGGGGTCAGGAGATCAATGTTTTGGTTTCAGCTCCACCCTATTCCTTCAGTGACCTTGGGCAAGTCACTGCACTTCACTGGGCCTTCTAAGTCTTCATCTATAATACAGGGATCACCATCCCTCTTCCTGTCTCCCCTGCAGGGTCACTGTGAAGATCATTGGGAGGACAGATGCTGCAAGTGCTAGGAAAAATGTCTAAGAGTGCTCCGGATGTAAGGGGATCGTGCTGGGTATTAGATAGGGGCTCTCTTGGGCTGTACCGAAGTGTTTGTTTACACCCGCATGGGCCCTGCTGGCAGGGAAATTTTAAAGGGAACGTGCTCAGTAAGGCAACTGATCAAAATATCTCCAAATTAAGAATGAAATTTGTGGGAAAATGGGGCCTCACTCACTTGTCTGAGATTCCAATTATGCCTGGGTTTTGGGGAATGAGTTGAAGAGCAGCAAGGTGTGAGAGTGCAGTGGCCTCAATACAGAGGGGCTGGCCAGGAAATAAGAGCTGAGCTTCTGTCCTTCCTCTGAGCCCAGCATCCCTTCTGGGCACACCTCGTCCTCAAGAGCCCTCTCCTGCAGCCTCTCCATGTGGGGCTGGGCACAGGCTCTCAGTCAGTTACCTGTATGACTCACGGAGACATGTTTGGGTACAGGATGGTGGGAAAGGGCACATAATCCCCTTCAGACAAGTCCAGGGCTAGAATGAAGGGGGCAGACCTGACTTACGGTGACAGAATCACCTGCTTCATCTGCCTTGATGACACCGGACGGGGACCATGTATCCAAAACCTTACAGTGAGGAACATCTGCTTTTGCCAGAGAATGTTTTCTTTCTTTTATAGCATGAATCTCTCACCTGGTCGCATCTCTCTCTTGAAGCTCAGGATCAAATGTGAAACCTCATTTTTTTTTGTTGTTTTTTTGTTGTTTTTTTCCATTTATTTTTATTCGTTGGAGGCTAATTACTTTACAATATTGTAGTGGTTTTTGCCATACACTGACATGAATCAGCCATGGATTTACATGTATTCCCCATCCCGATCCCCCCTCCCACCTCCCTCCCCATCCCATCCCTCTGGGTCTTCCCAGTGCACCAACCCTGAGCACCCGTCTCATGCATCCAACCTGGGCTGGTGATGTTTCACCCTTGATAGTATACTTGTTCCAATGCTGTTCTCTCTGAACATCCCACCCTTGCCTTCTCCCACAGAGTCCAAAAGTCTGTTCTGTACATCTGTGTCTCTTTTTCTGTCTTGCATATAGGGTTATCGTTACCATCTTTTTAAATTCCATATGTATGCGTTAGTATACTGTATTGGTCTTTATCTTTCTGGCTTACTTCACTCTGTATAATGGGCTCCAGTTTCATCCATCTCATTAGAACTGATTCAAATGAATTCTTTTTAATGGCTGAGTAATATTCCATGGTGTATATGTACCACAGCTTCCTTATCCATTCGTCTGCTGATGGGCATCTAGGTTGCTTCCATGTCCTGGCTATTAACAGTGCTGCGATGAACATTGGGGTACACGTGTCTCTTTCAGATCTGGGTGAAACCTCATTTTAAAAACTCTTGTCTACATCATTGCAACCAGAACATTTGTTCTTGTTTTCAGTGATTCAGACTTCCTACTCAATGATAAGTCTTCATAATTGTCATGATTTATTATTTCACTGTGTATGTTTTTCAGTGTAAGACATACCATCTTTTCTTGTGGAGTAAGGTAAGGTCCATTTAGGTAAATAACTGAAAACGAAATAGATGTCTAAGAGCTTACCACAGTTGACAATGCGGGATATTGGTGAGGGAATTATGCAGGCATTAGGGTCAGACTTGAAATCATCTATTAAAGCCTCTTCCCTAGTCTGGCCTCCACCCCTTAAGAAAGTCCCAGAAAGAAGTTGGCCAAGGTTTTATGACATATTGCTGTCTGAGAAAACATGAATTCCTTTCCTGGCACCCAGTCCTCTGCTCTTCCCATGACATCAGGCCTCATTCTAGCTGTAAATGGCAGGGTGAAGCTAAGAAAGATGGCTCACCACTGGCCTCTGTGGTCAGTGAAGAAGTGGCATGCTCCTTCTATGATCCCTACTTTAATTAATAGGAAGCAAGTCCTGGCTGTAGATGCCTTCTGACCTGCTGGCTGACAAGGGGCCTGGGCTGCCCTCCATGGCAGATGCCAGGCCTTTGGTAATGGGCATGGCCATAGCAGGCAGCTCAGAGCACCAGCAGGTGCCAAAGCCGGAGTGGAGGGACTTACTCAAGGCCTTGCTTGAAGGATAGAGAACTTCCTCCATGAGCGATGCTCTCTTGACCCTCAGCCAAAAAGGACACAGGCTGAACCTAGACCATGTGCCACACATAGTCCAGGAAGGCAGACAGGCAGGCAGGCAACCCCAAGCAAAGGGTCCCATGAATGTCCTCAGACACAGAAACCCAGACTCCAAATTATCTAAAATGAGATTTATTGCATTTCATGCAGTTTGAAGTCCATGCAGCAAAGGAGACTAGCACAATTTTTAACGCATTTAAAAATAAAGTTGAAAACGGGGGCTGGGGGGCGGGGGGGTATGCACAAAGTTCTAGTCTCCTTGGGTCCCTGGAAGAGAAGGGTTTGGGAATGAAACCATCCACTCTCCACGGCAAATGAGTCTTGTAAATGCAGGGCATGGTCCCACGGCCTCTGGAGGCAAATCCACAGGGCTCTGGGGCAGGAGCAGGGCCCAGGGAGAACAGCACTAGTGGAAAGGAAGCTACACACGTCACCCAACTTCACCTGAGGGCAGAACAAGGTGGCGAATCCTGGGGCAGCGGCTGTTCTGAGTCGGGAGACTACACACACCCCTGGGGAGATCTGCTCCTAAAAGCAGTGGCGGTAAGAGCCCAGAAAAGTAAAACAAAAGAAATACTTCTTAACCACACTCTTTGAGAAAATGCCATAAATATGTTATTTAATATTTTCATTTCATAGCATTGGACACACAGCTCAACATATTGAAATATTGATTCCTTGGAGGAAAAAAAATGAGAAAAAAGGAAATAAAAAATATTGCATCTTTCTGTTGGAGAATCTCGGCCCCCAGGCATGGGGCGTTGTGCACCAGTGTCCTAGCCTGCAGGAGGCGCGAAGGTCGGCGGGGTCCTCTGGGGAGGGAGGCGGTGCCCATTGCCTGGGGCTGTATGGCAAAAATTGTGTTGGGTGTCCTTGGCCTTGCCAGCTCAGGCCCTCAGTCGCCGGTCACCTGGGGGGCCTGCCCGTCGGAGGGCTGGTTGGCTGACTGGATGAACATGGGCTGGGCGAGGTCCTGGCCGGCAGGCATGGTGACTTGCTGGATCTGGTAGAGCTGCTGCGAGGAGTGGAGAGGAGAGAGTGAGGTCACCCCAGGGAGAGGGCCATGCAGCTCCCTATGGGCCTCGAGTTGGCTGGGGGCCCTGGATACCTCAACCACTACCCACTGCAAGGCGTCTGAGGGAGGAGAGGAAGTGGCAGTCTGCTGGGGCTGGGAGCAGCAGACCCAGGAGGCACCAGCCCAGTGGGAGGGGGGGCTGTGTAGTGGGCAGGGAGGAGGTGCGGGGGGTTGCATTTCCTGTGGCTTTCACTTCTCTGGGCTCTGCCTCTCCCGTTAGCTCAGAGCCTCGAGCTTGCTGCACGCTGTTCCTCTGTGACAAACACAAGCAACCTGAACCACTGTACCAGCAGCCTGGAAGTCATCATTTCCCCAACTCTTGGTAATCCTCACTGGCAGGGACAGTAGGGTTTATCCCCTCTCTTTTTCCTTAGAGTGTCTGGTTCAGGCTGAGGCCCCTGCACTGGCCCTGATGGGCAGGCAGGTCACCTGGGATTAGTCGCTTCCTACAGCTAAGACCTACGAGGGGTGGAGAAGATGCTCATGGAGCCACCAAGAAAGGTTAGGGTCAACTGGACACAACTTCTCAGGTGTTTCCACAGAAACCCCAAAGCTAAGACCCCCCTGACACAGGAGACCTGGCGTGTGAGCCTAGCATCTGGTGCTGGCAGAAGCCAGAGCTGTGTCCTGATGCCAGCTCCTCCCCTTTCTGGGCAGCAGAGAACATAGGCTTACGCATGTCATCCTACCATGTCCTCAGGGGTCTCTGGGGCCAGAGCACGGAAGGAAAGGCAGAGGGAAAAGGGAAGATTCCTTCCTCACATGGGTTTAGAATTACTGAATTCCAGGCACCGAGAGAGCTGAGAGGTCACACATTCTCTGCATTTCAACTAATCCATGAGATTAAAAAAAGCACAGCTTAGAGCAAAGCTATTCTTAAAGGAGACTGGAGACCTGCACGCTAGTTCTGGTTCTGCAATGAACAGCCAAGCAAGCACAGACAAGGCACTTCCCACTTCAAGGGCTCAGTTTACTCATCTGTAATATGGGCACAGGGGCTATATAAAGTCTAGGGTTATTTTAAACTTCCACAAGTCTCTAAACCTAGAGGACAAGCAAGACTTGTTTTTAACAACTTCTGTCCACTGACTGTGAAAAGATGATGGGACAGCTCCCCTATGCGCCAAACCCACAGAAAGCACCTGCTACCCCCTAACAACTCCTCATCCTCTGCGCCTGCCTTGGCTGGTGTCCTACCTGTCCATCCGTGAACTGGCTGAACTGCTGCTGTCCTTGCTGGACCTCTGTCTGTGTGATCTGTAGGAATCAAGAAGGCAAAGGAGGCAGATGGGCCGCAGGGTTTGGTCCACCAGTCCACCAGCCCACCAGCCCAGAGAGGGTCGTGAAGATCGAATGGACAGTGCATACGAGGTGCCCGAACAAGGCCTGGCATAGCACAAGGGCTGGATGAGTAGCAGGAAAGCAAGGCTCCCTCCCCCTCCCCCGCCCCGAGCACTGACGGCTACTCAGAGCTGGCACCACAGACATGCCCGCAACCATCTCTCTTAGCGTCCATACAAACCCCACCCCCACCCCAAACCACCTCTCACCATAAGGTCTTTCTGAGGCCTGAGGCTCAAGTCGAAACAAAACCACCTAGCTCCTAGATGCTGACAGGACAGGGCACAATATTTACAGTTTAGGCAGAAACCCTAAGAGTCTGTCTTTCAACCTGTGATGGCAGACTGCAAAACACTGGGCAAAGTGGTGAGTGGTCGGTGGGCTCCAAACCAAACCCGTATCACCCAGGTTATCTCAGTGGAATATGAAACACCCTGGCAAGCAGGTGGCCTTGGCCCTGGAAGCCCTTGTGGCAAACCTATGAAGTACTTTTTCCGAGACAGGCCACACGCAACCCTCTGGGCCAAGGGTGGGGGCGGGGGCAGTAAGGAAACCATTTGTCACATGTACTTAAAATCTTATGTGGGCATTTTAAATACATTTTAAAAGAAAGTTACTGATATGGAGAACTGAATCATCTAATGCCAGCTGCTGGAGACAGCTTGGTAGACTAGAAAAAAGACTGAAGAATGTTTGTGTGTGTATGTGTTATCTATGGAACATTTGACTAGCTAATGCTTTCTGTGTACCTTCTCCTGGAATCATCACAGCCTCCCTGCAAGGTAAGGACTGTCTTCTCGAGTGTCCTCACAATGGCCAAAAACAACCCATCAGGCCTACCCATGGGGCTGCGAGAACAATAAGGGGACAGGTGTGAAAGGGTTTCCTAACTACTGTTCTTTGTTTTGGATCTTTCTCCTCCCACGAGGGCAGGAGTTAAGTTTTGTCTTTCCATCTCCCAGTGCAAAGTAAGTACTGAAGAAATGCCTGCAGAATAAATGAGTGATCCTGAGGCAAATGGAAAATATACCTCACAGATGAGGTTTTCATTGTTTCCTGTGGCCAGCAGGACTGCCCTTCACATCAGTTGAACAGAGTTTCATTTACTTTTAAATTCCATTTACATATAATTTATTCAACAGTCAGTCAGCAAACATTTACTGAGCACCTACTAAGTGTCAGACTGTTACAATTACAATCTGTCAATTGGTTTGTTATGAAGATTCTTGACTGTCCTCAGGTGCCTCTTCCTGCTTCTTTCCTTCTCTCTGTAACACCCAACTCTCCCCACTTTCTGGCTTTAGTTCCTGGTCCCAACATTGACCTCCGGGGAACCAAGAACTCTTCCTTCTCATTTCTTCCCATCCCATGCCACAGAAAGTTTCTGGATCCTAGGCTAGAATCTTACAGGTTTAAAGGGGGCGGGTACACTAAAGAGTGGAGCAGTCTTGAGATCTGATTCCCTGTCAGTGAGCAAGCCAAGGAAGGATGGATTTGGAGTAGGCCCTTTAACCATCCCAGAGACCACATGGAACTCAGAAGCCCGGCGCTCATTCCTCATATTTTCCCCAATGAGATCTTTGGAGACCTGCTCTACAAACTCAGCTCTGTCACCACTGTCAATAGATACATCGCTAGAAATGCAACTGGGCCAGACGTGTCCAGCTCTTAAACGATCACTGCTTTTTTGGGTCTGAGGCAAAAGAATTGATTAACAATGCCTCCCCGTCCAGCGTTCATGTTGCAAATAATGCCCACACCCCCAATCCCCACACCCAGGGAGGTGGCCCCCTCAGTACCTGTGGCTCACAGCATTCAATGTCTTGGGGCGTGAGGGGAGAGGAGGGCGCAGTCTCTGGTTAGGGGTGCACAAGAAGGTGGGGAGAAAAAATCTAAGTAGCTTCCCGAAGGGCACAGAAGATGCCAGGACACAACAGTCATTCAGGTTTAAAGACGGAAACTGAGCCTGATGGTGAGGCAGCCTGTGAAAATGCCTCCTTCAGTCAGACCTGCGCGTTTATACACATCAGGCTTTCCTCAGGTATCCTGAGACTTCCTCAGCCTTGTGTCTCCTTGTCCCTCAAGAACAAGGCAGTAAGAGACACACTTTGAATCCAATCCTTTGATAAACCCCATCTGTCCCCTGGGATACAGAGCACATGTGCAGAATGTGGAGGTGGCTCTTGCTGAAGATGAGGTGGCCAGAGAGTTGTGTGCTGAGCCCTCCTTTCCAGTCAGAAGCCAGCTCCTGCTGGCCCCCAACTCAGCCCTGCATCTCTGGGGGACATACCTGTTGAGCATTGGTGGCAAGCGTCTGGATCTGTCCCTGTACAACTTGGGTGCCTGATACAGGCTGGGCTAAGCGGATATACTGCAGCTGGCCGGCATTCAGCTGCACCTATGGCAGGGGCAGAGACAAGCAGACCACAGGAGACTGAATGCAACCTTGAAGAGGCAAACTTTTCATGACAAGAAATAGTGATTGTCCCCTACCCACCACCCACCACCTCTCCAAAAAAGCCAACTCTGAAAAGCTCCTTTTTAACAGAGACCAAAACAAGCAAAACCATAACATCCCAACCCCGTAAGTCACACAAAAGAGCATGTTCCTTGAATGGATCTGGGGGAAATTCCCAGAGGATTCTGTCATACACGTGAGAACAGCACGGCTGGACCCTCAGTATTCACTGGCTCTTAGCTGTCTGCTCACAGTTCATGCTAGGAGTTTATGCCCAACTGTCTTGACATTATTGGAATGCTTGTACCTTAAGTGTGGGCCTCTCTCTCCTCCATCTCCACCCTTCGCTACCCCAGTTCCCAGCATGGCTGATCTGTCCACCAGGAACCCAGAGCAGATGGTCATCACTCAGGACCACAGCCCAAGAACTACCCAGCCCCATGCTGCACACCTTGGAAGAGAAAGCTGGCCCGCTTTACCATCTCTGTCCCCAAGAGCCAGGACTAATGCGGGTCTGTGGGACTTTTAAGGATGCCAGGTATTCAGCACTAGCCTCTGGCCAAACACCTCCCAAGGGGAAGCTGAATCAATAAACCTTTCACAGAATACCCCATCATGGGAAACTAAAGCTACAAAAATGCCCTTAGAGTCCCTCAGGCTTACGATTAAGTCTCAGATAATACAATAATACCACATGCTGCATTTAATTGCATGCTAAAAGCCTTAACTCAAGCTCTTAATGCTCCAGCATACCATGACGGTATTAGTGCTTTGAGCATGAGGATGAGGAGAGGACCAAGGCAGCTACAATGCGAGGGGAACTGTGACTCAGCAGAGAAAACAGTCGGCAAAGGAAGACTATGGACAGTCACGCTTAGGATATGAGGGATGAAAGAGGCTCCAGGAAAACCGGCAGATATGGTTTCCCTCCATCTGGGGGCCTAGACAACACACTCCAGAAAAAAAGCTGCCTGACCTGCTTTTCTTTTAAGGGTGAGCTTCTTAAGGGTAATAGGCAAGTCACGCCCCTTTGTCCTGGAGAAAATTTTCTTCTTGCCTTCAAGAGTTAACTTCATTTTACGGGCTTTTACTTACATGAGTAAAATGCTGATAGATGAAGCTCCTGCACAGTGTTAAATCAAACTGCTTCTCTGAAACTTCAGCTTCAAAGAGGATTTGAACCATCAAGAAAAGATAAACACTGAACCAAGAAAAGAGGAACATTTAACCAAGAAAAGAGGAACATTGAAGTTCCTGGTAGAACATTCCAGAATTGTCTAAAGCAAGATGGAGGGACACAAAATCTAAACCCACTAAGAGTCTGGTTTAAGGGAGACAGGGCAAGATATTGTGACCTGTGTCATTTCTCTCCTGAGAACTTGCCGAGAAGAGCTGCCAGGAAGTTGTGATGCCAAGCCTAACCCCCCACCACATCCCACAGTGCAGCTTCCAGGCCAACGTTAAGTTGCTTATGAGGAGGAAGATAGCTGCGTGGAGGCTTGGGAAACCTCACATGCCGAGACTGGTAGTGGTCGGTCCCAGGAGTCTCCAGAACTCCCGCCAGGGACAAGGGATGGAAGACTGCAAGAAGTCTGGTCCCAGGAGTAGGGAAGTACACTGCCGGCCATGGGGATTTCACATTTCCCAGCTGGGAAGAGCACTTTGCAGAAACTCAAATGGGACTGCAAACTTGTGAGTCAAACAGTTCTAAGCAATTCTTAGAAGCAAGCTCTTCTTTTAGGCTTGGGCTTAGATATCTGGGGATGCTCTGCTCTTCAGTCCTCTTCCAGAGGGATAATCCTGGGGACCCTCACACCCTTTTAACATTAACTACAGCAAAGAAGCCCACCCCACTGGATGGAAATCAACCCTGAATATTCACTGGAAGGAATGATGCTGAAGCTGAAGCTCCAACACTCTGGCCACCTAATGAGAAGAGCCGACTCACTGGAAAAGACCCTGACGCTGGGAAAGACTGAGGGCAGGAGAAGGGGGCAAGAGAAGATGAGATGGCTGGATGGCATCACTGACTCAGTGGACATGAGTTTGAGCAAACTCTGGGAGATAGTGAAGAACAGGGAAGCCTGGTATGCTACAGTTCATGAGTTCACAAAGAGTTGGACATAACTTAGCAACTGAACAGTGACAAAGCAAAGAAGCCCACTCCCTGGGCTTTCTAAAGAGGAGCATAGTTTCCTTCCTGAAAGTTACCACTGATACTAGCACTCTGGTAAGTCTACAAATGTAGACTCCCATGGAAGCATACAGCGAAGATTAAGTCCTAAATTCTGCAACAAGTCTGTGCCCCCAGTCTTTAAAAGACTCAAGTTAAAGTTACCATGAAGTGGGAAGTCTACTCTGGCTTAGATGATCTTATTTTGGTGCTCTCACATGCAAAAATGAGAACCATTTATGAGAGAAGTCATGGGTTGGTGACTGTAAGGAATCTAAAATCGATAGGTGCTTCTGGGTGTATGTGGTCACCCCGCCCCAACCCCGCCCCATGTAAGAAGGAAGGGTCTGGGAGAAAGAGAGAGAGAGATGACAAAGAAAGAGAGTGATGCACATACCCCCCTTTCCTCAGCTTTCTCTTGGCCTATTACTCTGTTAATTAAGAAGAGCAGTCCCCAAAATAGAGCTAAGGATACTTTTCAAGCTTCCTTCAAAGAGGAAGTGGTTAGCCAAGACCAAGTGAGGTTCTGTATCTGCCTACATTTCATTAACAATAGGAAAGGTGAGAGGCAGGAACAGACCTGCTCTGTGTCATGCATTTTCCACATTTTTTGTGGCAAACTGACCAATGAATAGGTGGCATATGCTACGACAAGGACTTGTTTCATTTTTTTTCTTAAATAAAAAAACAAGTACAAGTGAAAAAGCCAACAAATATAAGAAATGAAATCCCTCAAGGCACATAGGAAGTAGCAGTCCACAGTGAAGCAATAGATAAATTAAATGAAAGCCAAAAATACACTTTGTTGCAGGCTCCACTGGGAACTGACTCATGAATATGCAACAAGTGTATTTATGGCCTTTTCTATACACCTCCCTCTTATTCTCTGCAAATCAAGACAGGACTGCCTCACAGGGCCTTTGGGGCTTGGCAGGGAATAGTGGCTACAATGACCTCTTTGCATAGGCGGTGGGAGGGGAACTCTAGAGGAGCTGCCCCATAGTGGTGAGTCTGAACCTGGATTAAAGCAAAGCAGGGAGTACACAGTGAAGCCAGCTGTGGTCTAGGGTAATGGAAATACAGGTTTACAACAAAGTGCGTGTGTGTGTGTGTGTGTGTGTGTATTAAAATCTTTAACTATTTCTGATTGTTACTGTTGATACTATTGATACTGTTGATCAATCAGACTGTTCTGGTTAATACTGTTGTGCACAGCACCACACAGACCTGAAGGCAGGGCAGGGCTTACCGGGATCTGCTGGATCTCTCCTGTGTTCGTGATGATCTGCTGCATCACCTGCATGGTCTGTCCAGTGCCACTCTGGGCCTGCTGGGCTTGACCTTGTGGCTGGGCCTGGACAATCTGCACCTGCTGACCTTCGCCAACTTGCATGGTCACAGGTGTCGTCTGGAAGGAAGAGTCATGAAAAAGCTGACTGCGTTATAGCCCAGAGCCATCAGGCCTACCAAGGGGTTAATGCTGAGCAGTTAACCAGGAGCAAAGCCCTCCTGAATGCCTGACCTCATCTCAACACCAACAATACTCAACCTACAGAGTCCCCTGGGACTACGCACACCACATGCAGAGCAATGATAAAATCATTCTCCAAAGTAAAAGACAGGAAAGCCGAATGGAATGTTTGGCTCAGGGTGCAAAGTATTTGCCTCAACCCCAATACCTCTTTCTATGCTTCAAATGTTGCAACTTTTCACAGCCCCGCCAGTGACAGAAAGGCACGTATGGTAAAAAAGAATTAAAAGCAACTATCATATGATAATTTGCCCCAGGCTTGGCTGAAGTCAAGCCTGGAGCAGGTGAGTTTGGAGGGCAAACCAAGTGGGAAGTGGGGTCAGTTTAGGACCCTGGGCTGCTTCCTCGGCATGCAAAGCACTGGAAGAAACATAAAGGGCACACCGGCTGTCATCCCCACTTAGTCAGAGAGTGACTCCAGCCCACGTTGGCCAGCTGGCTGCTCCAGATCACAGCATGGCTTCCCACGGAGAGGCAAACGCCCTTAAGACCTGGACACTGTTAAGACCTGGATCTTAATTGAGGCTATGCAAGTAATAGAATGTAACACTTTAACAGAATTTAGCAAGAATTTTAACTTTCTAGAAATAGGAATCTCAGATTTAAGGAATTTCTGTCTAATGTATACAAAGATTCTGTGTCTCACACACTTAGGGGATTATCCAACCCAACGAAACTTGCTCCTTTGAGAGAGAGTGGATTCAAACTGTCGAAAGGGTCAGTTATTTCTTTAAATCTCCCCTTTACAGCAGTAAAGATGTGACCTTTACAGATCCCAGCATAAGTTGCTCATCTGGCGGTGGTGCGAGTAGAGCCTTTAACTACACCTGCAGCCCAAGCCTTCACTTTGGGTATGATTTCTCCCCACTTGAAACCAAGAACCACCTCCTCAAGACGACTCTGAGAGTCTTAATGAATCCTGGTCTTTAATCGATGTTGTTATCCCTATTGCTCTTACATTCTGACTGCACAGGTCTACTCTGCAGTAATGTTACAGGGAAGGGGAAGGTGTTCTGGGAACTGTAGATGGGACTCAAGGGATTCTAGGTAAGGAGAAATGACTACAAACTGTCAGAGGGTAGGGAGAAAGATGACAGAGGGTAATGCATGCAGGCAGTGGGCCAGGTCAACAGGAAACATCTCCCATTCTGACACCTCGATCTCCAACTCAGCCTGCTCCCCAAACCTCCAAAAATGTGTCCAATTTTATGACAGGAAACACAGGATTCACTTGACCAAAATGTACTTTCCTCCCAATTTTAATACGTTATCGGTCCTACAAAGGTATCTGAGCTCAACTTGAAAGAGCCACTCCTACAGGCCTAGGGAAGTGTGACAGAGCGCAGCCACAAGGCCTTCCTGAACCAGTCAGACAGGGGAACAAGAGCTGGGAGATGCTGGGAGGAACCAAGTCACCACCCTCACAAGCCTTATCAGCTCCAAGCTGAGCAAGTCCAGGGTGGCAGAGAAGAGGCAGATGAAATTCTCGCTGACTTAAAAAAAAAAAAAAGAAATGCATACTGCCAACTCATCACTGTCCTACCAACTCAATTTTCCCAAGAGGATTTCCAAGGTACTTCTAAATCATTTCAGGAAAATGAGGGCTCATGTTAGCCTGGCAGATGTCAAATCACATACGGCGTGCCCTGCACCGTATGGGGCACCATAGTCATGAGCTTTTCAGAATGATTAGCCAATCAGGGCCAGCTCTTGGCAGACTCCCTTGAAGCTAGCCTGTACCAGGATAAAGCCTTAGGCAGGCAAAGCGCTCACCACTGCGGAGGCACAAAGAAGGTCCCTGAGGCATCATGCTGCAGCAGATGCCTTGAGGCAGGGACTGAGATGTGGTCATCTTTAAACCCCTCCTGCCCAGCACTGTGCCTCGCAAAGAGCAAGCACTCCATAAACTTCCAAATTATGGATAAAAAAGTGAGCAGGGAATACATTCTAAAACCATAATAATTTAAATTTAGCTCTGTCCCAGTGTTTTTTCTTCAGGCAGACCCAGCTCCTTAACAGAACACACATGGCTGTTTAGGATGTATCCTCTGCCTATCTTTTCAACCTGCCTAGACGCTCCCCTGTGCTGGCTGTACCCTCCCCTCCGACCACCCCCTGTGCTGTTTCTCTCCACCTTTGCTCATGCTGTGCCCTCTCCTGGGAAAGCCCTCCTTCCCCCCTTTACTTGATTCACTTCCATTATTCCCTCTAAGACTCACATTATTCCTGTCAGAGAACTTTCCTCTGACATTCTCTGCTACCACCTCCCTCACATCTGTGTCAGGTACCCCTTGTGAAGCACTCCCATGACACCCTCTACACAATGCTAAGAATATCTTACACTTCCCACATGGCAAGTGGTGTAATCTGTAAGTATCTGTAGCCCCAACTAGATTCTTAAATTCCTAAAAATAGGACCTGGTTTATTCATGCTTGTATCCTCAACACAGCACTGGACTTTAGCTAAGAGGACACTCAACGTCTGATGGATAAACAAATAGGGAATTTGGAGTCGGGGCTCAGGAAACGTAGCTCTCTTTAGCCTTTCATGATCCCCAACAATGTGGATATTAACTGCTTTCACAACAATACTATCAGAGAGAGAAGGAATCTTCTGATTACTGTTATAAAAAGAGAAGGTCACTGGACACATCCGGTGGGAGACAGAAATGATGAGGAAAAGGAGAGGAAATGTATGCAAGCTGGCAATGATGCCTGATTGCCCCCTTAAAGATACAAATTCCCATACTGGTGGGGAGACGCAGACAACAGGCATGGAATCCACTTAAAAGACCTTTTACGAAGATGTCACTATCTTCAAGAAGGCATCAAAGAGACTTTTTTTCTCCTAAAATGTTTTAGGGACCCCAGAGAATGTCCTGTTCACTGCACTTTCCTCATTTGACCCATGAGGATGCCAGGGTCCAGAGAGACTAGGTGACACATGACCTCAGCGGCCGAGTCTGGGGGCAAGTCTAGGTCTCCAGAATTCAAACCCAGTGCTCTACAATGATCTGACTGCCCACGTGCCCCAGCCCCACTCTGCCCATCCCAAACCTCAGGGGCGCTGTCTTGCTGGGTCGGCACCCTTGGCCGCTCACAGACCTGGCCCTGCTGAGGCTGCGCAATGATGATCTGCCCGGGCTGGATGGTGGTTGTGGAGCTGGTGGTCTGCTGGCCTTGCTGCTGCCCCTGGACTTGAACGGCAGTAGGCTGCTGAGCCAGCGTGAAGTAGTACTGCACGGGCTCGGCAGGGGTCACAGACTGGCGCACCTCCTCCTGTGGGGCAGAAGGAGAGGCAGGTAAGAGGAAAAGAACCGACTCAGCAGCCGCCGCAGTGAATTTCCATTCTTCCCCCAAACGGGCTCTGCGCAGTTGCCTGCTGAATGCTGAGTTCTCCACATTTGAAGCCAAGGGAAAGTGGAATTTGAAGAGACCAGTTGTGCTAAATCAAACTAAAAATAACAGATTCCATAGGCTTCACAAAACAAACGTACAGCCAATTTTCTGAAGTACAGAGTAATCACCCATTGCGTGATGAGTTGCAAATGGGCAAATAATTACCGTAACTAAAAACCACGCACTAGCTGTGCTTGTCAGTAAATGATGTCAAGGCCTGTGATCTGAGAACAGTGCTAATTGCAAGCACCCCAAACACTCAGGCTGGCTCCCAATCTCCCAAATAGGCAGAACTCTCCTTATTTCATTCCCCCACCACCTCTGGAGGGAAAGCGCAGGGGAAAGGGACACAGGGATTTTTCTGGGTTGGAATTTCAGAAGCAAATGTCGGGACTAAGAACGTTGGTAGGCAAGAGCCCAGCTTTTCACAGCATGTCGCGAGCTCGGTGGTCACTAAGGCCGTGTCTATCCAGAATTATATTTGGTTTGGTGGTACTTAGCCACGGAAGCGCAACCCAGGGAGCCTGAGGGACAGCTCTCCACTGGGGTGCTGCCTTGGCTGACTAGGGAGGTCGCATTCTGGCCGACCTGCTGGGTGAAGAGCCTGTTCCTTCTTCAGCAGACGTTTTCCATGGCAGAAGGAGTAAACAACCCTCTCCCAGCCACCTCGAGCTCACAGCTGAGAGTGTAGGATGTTTACACACACTACAGCATGGTTACAGTCTGAGGGTCCGGGGTTGGCTGGCCCCTGACCACTGACAGAGGTCGGCATCTGCTCCGGAGGGGTGCGACTCACGGGACCCCTGCCTGGGACAACAGAAACAGTACAAACATACAACCACTCGGCTGGCTGAGCAAAAGTATCAGCTAAGCTTACTCGCTTCTGTGCTCTGGACTGTGTTTTTCAGGCTCAAGGAAAGAGGAAAAGACTTCTCCAAGGAACAAACCCTGTGGATTGCCTCAAAGCTCCCCAAAGAGACATAGAGTTGGTATTGACCCTATCTCCAATCTGTTCTCCCACGGTCCTTTTCTCATGAAAGCATTTTGTACTTGCTGATCAAATTCACTACCTTCCCTGCTAGAATGACAGGCCTATGAAGGCAAAGCCTCGATCTCTCTTGCTCCCTACTGTCCCTATTACTATTCTCCTTTCAGGCACTCAATAAGCAGGTGCTAAATGATAAACGAATTCATAGAGTTGGGCAGACAATTGGAGGTAGGCAAGTATTTTTTTTTTAAACCCAAGCTGCACGCATGCATGTATGCTTAAGTCGCTCGGTCATGTCTGACTCTTTGTGATCTCACGATCTGCAGCCCACCAGGTTCCTCTGTCCATGGGATTTTCCAAGCAAGAACAGTGGAGTGGGTTGCCCTTCTCTTCCCCACGGGATCTTCCAGAGCACGGGATTGAACCCAGGTCTCCTGCACTGCAGGTGGCTTCCTTACTGGCTGAGCCACCAGGGGAGCCCTAACCCAAGTGGGAGTATGACAAACACTCTTGAACCCAACAACTGTCAGCAACAGACAAGAACCCCTAAACTCTTGCTCCCTCTAGGATTCTGCAGCCACCGTGTGGGGATACACTCTTGTCCACTGTAGGATGGGGCTGGGTATTCTTTTGCTTCCCAGGGACTGGGGGCCCAGGATACTAAAACTAGGACTGCGGAGATCTAGCTTCTGAGAAACTTGGATCTCAGCATGCAAGGTTCCCTGACGTCCATTCACCCAGCCTAGGCAGACACTTTAAACACTCTGGGTTTCTAACCTAGCTCTTCAATAGGAACCAACTTTCTAAGTTAATGTATTCTGTGCTTCAGGCCCAAACAGTATGAACCCTGGACATGATCATGCTGAGGCAGAAGAAAAAGGAAGCCCCCTTTTATTTGCATCTAGGTCTCAGTTTCCAGAACAACTTAACTGTGACAACATTATCTCCATTTCAACTAGAACTTCTCACCCTTATAAATAAAGGTCCACCAGTCAACTAGATCTTGGCTATGACAGGGGTAATACTGATACCCTCCCCAGCCAAGAAACAGAGGCCAACTACTCTTTTCAAGGCTCCGTAAATAGGTTCAATGAATTTATTTTCCCACTCAGAACTTCCTTCCCATTTTATAAAAAACATTAACAATTAAAGTCCAAACCTAACTTGAAAAAGTTCTTGGGTGATGAACGAGTATAGAGGACTAAGAACTCCAAAACTAACTTGTAGAAGTCTTGGGGAGTAGGGAGCCCCATGCCTTCACCTGCCCTTGGCCTGTGACTGTTCTGCCTCCAGTTATCCTTGACTACAGCGAATCTGCAAGTGAATACTGTCTTTTTGCCAGAAAAATAGCAAACACTTTACCACTTTCAGAAGCTAAAATATCCTTTGCAAAAGCTGTGAGAACATGTAAAGAGCTTCTCCTATGCTGCCTACAGTACCCTCTTAAGCTGTTTATAAATTAGGCAATGTCTGGGACACTCTGTGAGTATCAAATAGAGGAACCAAGGTTTGCATTTTGAGGACAGGCATGTCAGCTCTCAAATCACTGGAATGGAAGGAAGCATATCTAAGCTGCTTCTGCATTAGAAGACTCATTCTGCCAATGGAGGTCAAGCTAGAAAGGGAGTGATTATGCTTGGTTTCAAGAAATGGGTGAAGAGGAAATGATGTTTAAATGAGCAGGAACTTTCAACTCATAGCTTTATGGGGTAAAAGTCAGGCCTCAACTCTCTCCTGCTTGAGTAGTCTTTACTTGCTTCACCAAAGAACAAGAGACATCCCCAAGCATCTCTGAGAAGTCAAGGACCTTAGATCAACAACTCAGTATTTCTGGCTCATTTCTTTTCCCAGCAGTGGGAAAGCCACCCCCTGTGCTAGAACAATCTCTGACTGACTGGATCAATCCAGGATGGAGCACTTGCCCAACTTAGCAGTGGCCTCCCCAACCAGAGTGCTTGCTCTTGGAATCTCTTCAGCAGTGGAGTCTGATAAACAACACCAGAGAATGAGCAGCATCACCTCCTAGGGCCATCACCACAGTGTTGTGCAGCCAGCCCTCAAAAGCACATTTGCTTCAGTAGCAAGAACGAACTGCTGCTTCCTTCAGAAGGGCGAGTTTTGGAGAGTAGGCGCTTTCAAAAGACTTAAGGAAGCTGCCAGCCGATTTGGAGCTTGGGAAAACTTCATGTCTACAGAGGACTAAAGCTGCTATCTTAGAACTCCAGGCCGGCCTTCAGCAATCTCAACCTTTCAAAAAAGGCCAGGCAGCAGCTGTCCCGGACAGGATGCCAATCAATGGCCTGAACGCCTGCAAAGAACTGAACCCAGGCAGCAAGGAGCTGTCTCAGCTAGACACACTTTAAAGGAGATGGATCACAGTATTCAGAGTCAGGCTAGGATGTAACAAGGAGCTCTCTGACACCCTCAGAGAGTCAAGCACCGAGGATACTGGAGGAAGGGAGAGGACAGGACCATTCTCTCTGGCCAGCTGGCTTGGCAGGCAGCCCACAGGAAACAAGCAGGAGTTGATGCAAGGAGCCTGAGCAAGGCCTGATTTTGTCACAGAGCTCACCACCTTGTTTTTAAAGGGGGCTTCTGAAACAAATTCCAACAGGGAGAGTGGGTGAGTGGTATCAACTGTTTTGAAGGAAGAGACCAAGTGGTCTGAGTTCTTCTTGTAGTGACTTCTCAGGGAGGAGGGAAGTACCCAGAGGAGGAACTGAGCCGTGGGCACAAACCTGCAATGTTTCAAAGGCCATGTGCAACGGGATGACCGTGGCAGCCTGCCGCTGTAAACATCCGACTGAAAGCTCCTTGCAACACCTTACAGCTTCCAGTCAAGGATGTTTACAGTAGCAAAGACTGCCCAGAAGAACGGAGACGCAGTGAGGGACCCCGTGCTAGGAAGGAGGTACAGGGGGCTTGCTAACCCAAAGGTCCCCAGGCAGGGTCACAATTACAAACGTTGTTAAAGATGCCCACTTCTCCTACATTCTCTTACTGGTTATTAACATGAGACAGCACAGGAGAATGGTCATTACTGAATGACTCCTATTTCTAAGGATAATATACTATGAAATAATTCATTATAAACACTGAAAATTTTATTAACAAGAACAAAGCAAGCAGATCAAGGCTCAGCTTTGCTCCTGCCAGACTTTGCCACTATTCCAAGTATCTCTACTATATCCAGTGAGTCATGCAATCTGCAAGCCTAAAATGATAAAGCAACATAGGAGAAGGATCTATCAAAATTGCAATTAAGAGCTTTATGCACCCAAAGTGCTGAAAAACAATGGTGTGACCTCTAGAGAGGAGCAGACAGAAGAGCAGGAAAGGCAGACACATTCCTTCTCGTCACTGCTTAGAAAAAGTTTAAGTAGAGGTTCTCAAATCTGGTTGCACATTAAAAGCATCTGGAGAGCTTTAAAAAGGACTGATGCCTGAGCCTCCCCCTCACAGATTCTGTTTCAGTCGGTGTTGGGGGCAGAGCATGGGCACTGGTATTTTTAAAAACTCTAACAGGTGATTCTAATGTGCAGCCAGCACACTTCGTAGAGAACCACAATCCAGAGCAAGAGAAAACCAAGTCCACTCCCTTCAAACACAACTATGCACACAGAGAAGCTGCTTCCCGGAAGTCTAAAATCTCTATAACCTATTCTCCCATCCCAGATTTAAGAACTCTGGTAGACTTCCTAGGTTACTTCGAAATGAGCTACACTTTACTGTTGTAACGTGTCTTTACTTTTCATTTTGTCTATTTTCATTGAGACACCACCTCAGAGGCACTGAGTTAAAAGTATCCCAAAATGAGTAACAGGAGATGTTAAGGATGGATCTGGTCTAGAGAAAGAGAAGCAAAAGAAGAGCAAATGACTTGTGCTGACAGAGGAAACGGAGATCGTCTGATACCAGGATGCAAGGCACCCTCTCGTCGGCAATGCCTTCCCAGCTCACCTGACGCTTCGGTGGTTTCAGCTCATCTCTTGGAACAATATCGATGAGAAAGTCAAACTGATCAAATTTTGTAATCGCCATGGCGATATCATTTCTCTGTAACAAAGAAAAGCAGGGTGAAAAATTAACTTGGGGAGAAACTAGTTTACCCGGCTTTCTACTCTCCAAGTTACAATTAAGGTTAAGATGATGACTTCTAAGTCAAACTAAAGACCCACGGCCAAGCCTGTAGCCAAAAAAAGCACACTCAAACTCTTACAAACTTCAAATGATCACACCTGATGGACAAACATTGACAAAAAAAGAGATACATATAGCTCATGCTCTACAGACTAGATATTTGAGCCTCCAACTATTAACACCTCTGCTAGATCCTGCCTCAAGGTCTTCCCCACAACTGTTAAGATTATCATCCTCCAGATACATTTGTACAAATCTAGCCTTTCAACTGACAGGTTTCTGGTCATTCTGTAGTTAGCAAAGTTAGGCTATTACTCAACCTTATAACCTTTTAAGCCCCTAAATAATATTTTGACTCTTTGGTTCACATGTAGTTTATAATCTATTTTGAATTTCTTAGCTGAAATCCTATTTCAGTAACTTTTTACAATATTTCTCTAGTCATTGGGTCTATATATGTTAGTTTCTACAAGATTACAATTTTTATTTTGAAATTCAAAATGACAATGTCAAATTCACAGTTTAAATACTGTGTAACATGACATGAATACTGGAAATCTGAAGCCACCAGGGTAGGGGCTGGGGGGAAGAGAACATGAGTCAGCTGACTAATGCTACTGAAACTAAGGCCTGCTCTGATGTGGTTCTTTCTAAGAGTGCCACTCCCTTTCTTTAAGTAATAAAACTAAAAGATTTTTAAATTAAGAACCAACACACTATGTACACTTAAGGTTTGTGTACTTCATTGTAGGACAATTATAAAGCAAAAGAAAAAAAAATAGAGAACACTAATAAGTGATACACATATTGAAGTATTCAGGGGAATGTAAAGTTTTAAATACATTTAAAACCAGATGGTTTGGTGGACAGAGGGAAAGACAAATATGAGACTAAAATGAGTAAAGTGTTAACGGTAGGATCTAGGTGGTGAGTTACACAGATGTTCACTGTAAACTTTGCTCATGGTTAAATTTTTTCATAATAAAATGTTGGAGGGAAAAGTCAACATGCTAACAGAAATCCTCAGCATGATCTATATATCACACTTAAAAGGTGACTCATTAGATAAAATAGGAGGGGATGGAAATTTTCTGGGTTTTTTTCCCCTTCCCTGTCTTTGTAATGGCCCCGAGCCACTGAAATGCAAAACTCCGGGCCGACCTTCTTGCCAACCACCAGCCTGATGATAAACCCTCCCAACAGAGGCAGGGCACATATTAAGGGTGCCAGGTCTCATTTAAGATTAGTACGACAGAGCATCACATTCATGATGATGTCACCTACTCAAGCTACCCAGACGGCTTATCTATGGATGGAATGAGGGGAAGAAAAAAATAAGTGATCGCCTTTAGACATATACTAAAGCATTCTACAGAATCTTGGAAACAGATATACTTACATGGGTCTTTTAAACATTTTTATTTTGCCTTTTTTAATGCTAATATTTTACCAATTATCATATTTAGTAAAAAAACAAAACAAAAAAGCCAGAGAAACTTTAAATACACAGCTTGATGAATCTGAATAAATATACACACCCGGGCAGCTATCACCCATATAAGAACATACAAAGTTTCCTTCTATTCCTTTCTAGCCAACTTCCTTCCCTTACTAACCTGAGGCAACCACAACTCTGATTCCTATCTCCATGGATGATAATAGTGTATGATATCATGTGCTGTGTAATTTTTTCCTCTGTTTCTTTTTCTTAAATATGATTGAGATTCATCCACATTGTTGCATGAATAGTTTGCTTCTCTGACTGTTGACTAGTCATCCATTTTAAGAATACATCAATTTGTTAATATATTTACATCTCAATGGATATTTGAGCTATTCCCAGGTTTTGGCTATTATAAACAAGGTTGTTACAGTCTTATATACAAGAATGTCCACACTTTTGGGAGTACATGTAAGAGTAGAATGGCTGGGTCTGAGATTAAGGAAATGCATTTTATTAGAAAGTGCTAAATAGTTTTCCAAGGTGATCACACCACTTTATATTCTAACCAGCAATAAATGAGTTTCAGTCATTTCACTTTCTTGTCAACACTCAGTATTGTCAGTCTTTTTTATTTTAGCCATTCTAGGGGGTACAAACCAGTATCTCACTGTGGTTTTAATTTGTATTTCCCAGATGACAAATGATGTTGCATATCTTTTCGTTGTTTATTGGTCATTTGGGTGTCTTCCTCTTTGAAGGGCCTGTTCAAGTGCTTTGCCCATTTTACTTTTCAATCTGAACTGATCCTGAAGGTAGCTTTAATTAGATCTCTCTAGATCCACAGACTTTCTCCAAGACAACATAAAGTAAGTTTTCAATATCTAGCTGCACGAGACTATAGAATTTCTAAGGGTAGGAATCTCTGTCTGTTTTGTGTATTAATTCCCAGGGCTTAGAACAGTGCTTGGCACACTGTGGGTATTCATTTAATATCTGCGGAATAAATGAACAAAAGCATGCATTTTCAAATTTGGAGATAACAGGAAACAAAGAAAACATAATGTACTTCCTTGGCTTTGCTGTTAAAATACTGGCACTCCTGTATCTGCCATACTTTTCCTCTTATGTCTGGGAAATCTTTCCTCTAAGAAAGGGCCTGGGTGTTGAGTGGAGGGTCTGTACACCCAATGACTACGGGGTCTTCATACAATAAGAAAGTGATTTGCTGGATTAAAACAAACGAAAAAAAAGAAACAAGAAAGAAGGAAAGGATTCCCAGGAAAACAGAGAAGGAACAAAAATGCTAAAGAGGTTAGTAAGACTATTCTTCCTGGGACTGTTCTTTCCTGGAGACTTTGAAGGCTTCCAACTGGAAGCTGTTTAGATCTGGAAATAGATAAATAATCACTTTAGCCTCTGTTTACAGTGAGAGTTCACCAAGTACAAAGTTCAGTCACTGAGCTGTGACAAACAGCGAAGTTGGAAATTAACATTCCTGGTAGGGAAATACATACTATCTTGGCCATAAGGTCTGCCTGCTTCCCACCAGTAGAGGAAGATGCCAGTTAAACACATCAGTTTGACAGAGGTCTAGGAAAGAACAATCTTTGGTCCAAAGCCATGCAAGGGAAGAAGGCAAAGGCAGCTGCTTGCCTAATTTTCTACAATATTACCTGAAGAGTCCGGCGCTTGTTATCCTCTGTATGGATCCAGGCTCGAAGAGTCAACTCTGTGATAAAAATCTGGGCTGCCTTGGCAAACAACACAGGGGCTTCTGCACTGATCATCTGCAACAGACGTAGGCCCTCCCTGTCAATCACCAGCAAGTCATTCAAACCAGTCAGTCTGTCCCTTATCTCATGTCCTGCCAATGGGCTATGGGGCAAGGACTAGAGAAGAAGCGGGTCGCCTCAAGAAATTCCAAGGTAAAATAAATCCATGACAAAGCAGGGACAAAGCAGGTAGCACACAGAAGGAACGAGGGAGAAAGGTTATGTATCTAGCACCTTCCATGTACTTTATTCCTCTCATAAAAGCCTTTCAGAGAAACTAGGATTTAGGAGAGGTGAAGTGATTTGCCTATAGACACAGAGCCAGTAAGTGGAAGGATTTAGGTTCTAAGCCAAAGGGAGACAATGTGGGGAAAGATAATGAGTGCCAATGGATTTAGGGAAAATCTCCAGCTTTTCATCCTTCTTGGCTTTACTTTTTACATAGGGAAAAAGAGGTAACAACTTTCCAGGATTGCTGTGGGACTCAAACGAGATAATGTATGTAAAAGTGGCTGGCACATAAGAAGTTCTCAAGTAATGGAAGCTGCCTTGCCGAACCTGAATTCAAAGTTCAAATTCTTGGTCAAACAAAGCTCTGGACCCTGTGCAGCCTTCGTGAGGTGGTCTGTGGCAGTCTGTCTGTGTGGTCAGAGGTGGTCTGTCCTCTATGAGGACAGAGTTAAGGAAGCAGGAGGTGAGAATTGGGATCTTGGCTCTCCAACTCTAGATGAGTCTCTTTTAACCTCTTTGTGTCTATCCACATATCTATGGGATGGTGAAACTAGTAAGTAACTCTTATCCTGTGAAATCTCACATGTTACTATGAGGAAGTAAGCTAATAAAAAGGAAAACTTCTGTAAACTGTTAGCTTTCTATACAAATACAGGAAACTATTAATTTGGAGTGGAGAGACTTGCTCTCTTCTTGAGAGAACTGTAATAGGAGGCGGACTCCTAGGAATACAAAAATGGTCAACCCAAGTAAATCTTCCCACAAGCATCAATTGTGTAAAACAACTCACAGCCTGAAAAGTTAGAACAAGTGCAAAATCATCATCAAACATTTCTCAGAGCGCAGATCAACTAACTAGAGACTGCAATAAGATGCTAGGAAGACGTCACTGTCCTGCTGACATGATGATACACATTTACGCTACAGAGTGGAAAGAATCAGGCAATTCAAAAAACAAATACTCAGTATCTTGGATTTCAACAGCTAGCAAACAGGATATTCCCAATTTTCAGAAAAGTACCATACAATAATTAAAACTGTTCAATTTCAGCTCACTTAACAATTTTAGAGAGGAACCAAATACAAAACCAACAGACAGTAATACTTTTATTTTTGTTTAATTAAACTCTGAGCTCTAGAGAAATGAGCAATAATCTTCTCATTGTTTTACTTTCAGTATGATAATAAAAATGAACGTGAATTCACCTTCACATCTTCATCCAGTTTCATAATCTTCTTAATACGAGCCAGTGGGAGTTCCTGGACTCGGAAATCTTTCTGAAATGAGGAACAAGAGGTGCATAAATGGTAGGAATAATTAATAGGATGTGACAGGCAGCATGAAACCCCCTGGTTGATTTAGTCCCTCCTTTCAGAAAACATGGCAGGAGAGAAATTACAAATGAAATTAAGAAAACACAAGCTCTAGAACAAAATACTTCTTAACCAATGCAGAGCTTCCAACAAAGGGTTTCAGGATAAATTACAATGCCTTCTAACAGGGCCCTCATGAAAAGTAACTCCAAACAATACCAGGTTCTTTGCCAGAACAATATAGAGATGCATTATGAATGTATTTTCCCCCCCTAAGAAAGTTTACCAGTCTACAATATGCAGATTAAAATGAGATTTCTGGCCTTAGGGGTTTTTCTCCAAGTTGCCATTTTTTCCTTCTAATCAAGGACTACAAGGGCAAGTGCCAGCAATACCTGACCACAGTGGACCGCTCTCTTCAGGCAATGTGACACTGGCTATTTCTGACCTTTGCACTAACATGACACCAGAAACTGGGGAGAGCTCCTTACCCATCACAGCATCGAAGGCTGTGGGTGGGGGTAGGAGTAGAAGAGTATGGCAAAAGGGTAAGGGTGAATTTATCAGCTGCTGTGTAGGAGGAGTCCTGTCAATTTTTTCTTAACAAACAAGACTAAGTTGGGAAGAAACCACTTAACTTTACTGTGGAAAGGATTTAGAAAAGGAATTTTCGATCAGCACTACTCAATTACTTGTGATTTAAGTGCTTTTTCATTTTATTTTGATACTACTGGTATTTAAATACACAGCCAATGATGGATGGAATTCTAGAAATAAAAATCAATTTTGGGTTTCAAAGCTGCAAAGAAGAGAAAACTGAAAAGGCAGAGATTAGCTAAAATCAGCAAAATCCCCACTGGCACTAGGTGTCAAATGATTGATACTATAAGTGGTCTGAAATGTGATTCACCAAATCCAATATGCTCACCTGGGAATTTACATCATCACATTACGGAGGAAGCAGCTCTTACTTGAGATTTGGTGTAATTAACATGCATTAGTGAACTTTCTTTTCCAAGACCGATAAAAAACGTCAACTATACGTCAAAGAAGGCAGTGGATCATTTTGGAAAAATATCATCAGCCTTCCCAGAATCTATTTTATGAACACAGAAGAACAGGAACTATTGAGATGAAATGTCCACCAAGACATCTATTTTTTTTTCTTGGCCGCACCTTGTGGCATGCAGGATCTTAGTTCCCCAGCCACGGATGGAACCCATTGCCCCCTGAAGTGGAAGCGTGGAGTTCTAACCACTGGACCACCAGGGAAATCCCAAGACATATAATTTCTCCACCCAAATCCAACAAGCTGCTTGGCTACCACTGACCTCTACAAAACCCCAACATCAATTTTTTATCTTTTCCTTTTCCAAATTAAGTATCAGCATTTTCCACAAAGCCTCTAAAAATCTAACTCCGGAGTGGTAGAGGCTTAGAAGTCCAGTTTACTAAAATTTCACCAAAAGGAGATAGCATAACACATTCTAATTTTTTCTCCTCCTCTTTCATCTGTTCCTTCATACAACTCAACTGATAGCAAATGTATGATACCTACTACTATATGGAAGATGCAAATACACAGCCGGGCTTCCCTGGTGGATGGCAAAGCATCTGCATGCAATGCGGGAGACCTGGGTTCAATCCCTGGGTTGGGAAGATCCCCTGGAGAAGGAAATGGCAACCCACTCCAGTATTCTTGCCTGGAGAACCCCATGGACAGAGGACCCTGGTAGGCTACAGTCCATGGGGTCGCAAAGAGTCGGACACAACTGAGTAACTTCACTTTCTTTGAACAGACATATAAAGACTACCACTTAAGAAATATTATAATCCCCTAACCTATACTAGAATGGGGGTGTAAAATCCCACAGGGAAAAGAAAGAAATGACCAACTGGCAGTGGTGGGTTGGGGGGAGGTATTGGAGTGAGCAAGAGGGGCTGACACCTATGTCTTGGGATCCTGCAAATCTGCTTGCTGGAAAAGTATATGTGAATGTTATTCAGACAAAGGACACAGAAGCACAGAGACAAAAAAAAACCTGGCCTATTTAAGTTTTAGATGTATGACCTCAGTACAGAGGGGAGAAGCAGGAAAGGGAATGCTGGATTGGGGCCAGACCCTAAAGGGATTTAAAAACAAAAAACATTTAACTACGAAACGATCACTGGTCCTCCTTCTTGTGTGGTGTATCACACAAAATGATGCTAAACAGAAATGCCAAAGAAAACGCTAGGGATGATAGTTCCTTTGGAAGGCCTCCCAGGATGATACACACAGCACAAGATTATGACCACAAGATTTAGGTCTCTTACAAGTATGCTCTCATTTGGCTTCGTCATTTAATGTAATTCCCACAACACTGTTCTAAGATTACTTAACTAAAGCTCAGAGCTGATAAAAAGACCTCCTTCCCCAACTTGAAAGAATAAAATATTACTTTCGGAATTTTTATAAGACTAAAATAAAAAAAAAAAACAACAAGGAAAAGTCAAGATATAGTCCCACCTTGATGAAGAGTAAAATGAGGAAGAAACTTACAAAAAACTCTGTTCTAAGTCCCATACATCTTTTCTTTTGTGAGAAATTTTCTCATGATCTCTAAGCCCTGAGATCTTAAAGGATCTTCAGTTGTGCTTGTGTGGCCCATTATCTCTGACAATAGCCCAGCTTTCTATAATCTCAGCCCAGCTTTCCAGTCACATGTAAGGCTTTATGACAAGCTTATTGGAGAAAAGCGCCCCCTTCACGATCGGTAAACTGGCTTTCAATTCAATGCTCCCCTTGTCATTGGCAACCACGCAACTGACAGGAGTAACATTTAACTTCTTATCCTGATGTGAATCCAAGTGGAATAACAACTGATACATTTTATTCTTGGGAGTGACATCAGAAAGGTGGGAGAGCGGATTCTCTCTTAGAACATCTTTGTGCTCCTGACCACAACCAAACAAGTATGTTTAAAAATGCTGCCATCTGAAACTGCTGAACTTCAAGAAGTCTGATTCACTCAATGAGAGTTTAAAGCCAAATTACAGTCAATAAGTCTCAGGCTGAACTAAACAACATCTGGAGTTTCGAATAATGATGAGGAATCTTTTGCAGGCCTACCTAGTCAGGCACTCAGTCTGCAAAATAAAGATTCTGTCTTCTCAAAAGCAGTGATTCTCAACATGGACAGCATGTTAGGATCACCTTGGGGAGCTTCTGAAACACAAGATGGGCTCTACCTCAGACTAACTGAATCAGGAACTCTAGGGAGCGGAGTCCTGGCATCACATTTTCTGAAAACTACCCTGGTGAGTATAATCCACAGTGAGGTTTACGGACCACTGCTTTAAAGCCTTGCTGCTCAAAGTGAGGTCCCTAGACCCACAATGGCATCATCTGGGAACATGAATGAAGTGCAGAATCTCAGGTTCCTCTCCAAACCTGCTAAATCAAAATCTGTATTTCAACATGACCCTCATGTGGTTAACATATAGACAATAAAGTCTGTGAAGCACTGTTCTACAGGAAGGGCTCAAACAGCACAGGACCTATTTTTTAGCAATCCACCAAACTTCACCTCCAAGTTCTTGTTTAAATGGTTATCTGACTTGATTGTAATGGTGGAAATTTCATCTTCCTATCTGGGGACACTGAAGAATGAAAAGATATAACTGGCAATTAAAAGAAAGTGACCAAAGCATTAAATTATTTTGAAGGCTAAATGGGGTGTAGGGAGGGAGGTTGAAGGAGGATTAGATTTTTCTTTAAGATTCAGCATTACTACCTCCCCACCTGCCCCACAAAGGACAAAAGTGAGCTCTTTCTTCCCCACTTTCAAAGAGGTCTAGAGAGGAAGATTTAATGCCAAGAAGTCTATTAATTATTGCTCCCAGAGCTCTGCTAAGCAGGAATATACTATTTTACACAATCATCCTGGTATATAATCATTTTAGTATGATTTTTAATCAACTTCAGTTTCAGGTGAGCACCACCTGGGTTTATGAACAATGCAGAGCTTTCAAGAATGAGGAGAGCATGACGGCCAAGCTGAGACAAAAGACAGATCGCTCCTGCAGAACAGAGACCAAGACAACTGCGGCCAGAGTCTCCAATATATCATGGACTATATCAGCTGTGCTGAGTCGCTCAGTTGTGTCCAGCTCTTTGCGACCCCATGGACTAACAAACTCGAATGACTTATTTTTGGGACATCTCTGTCACAGTCTTAATGTGAGACGTGTTGAGAGACCACAACATCTTATGAGTGTTCTCATAAACTTTATTTACGTTTGGATAGTTTGAACATACAGATTTTTTTAAAAATCCGGTGGACGTTTTGAGGTATCAGCCTAAGAGGCTCTGCTATATCTGAGGAAGTCTCGTTGTTAAGTGCTGTTTGAGCTCTACAAAGGCACACACTAAATATCAGCCACGTCACACAGGCAGAGGTTAAGTCAGAGAAGCAGATGCCTTCATTTGCCATCAGCAGAGGGAAAATAAAAGTTTTGCAAAGGGACTTTACTGGATTGCATTCTCACTCAAACTTGGCACCATGCTGCTTCACACTAAATCTGAAGTGGAGGGGTCTATGATTCATTTAAACATTTACTGTGCACTTATTACACGCCAGGGCTTCCATTGTGGCTCAGGTGGTTAAGAATCCGCCTGCAATGCGGGAGACCTGGGTTTGATCCCTGGGTTGGGAAGATTCCCCTGGAGAAGGGAAAAGCTACCCACTCCAGTATTCTGACCTGGAGAATTCCATGGACTGTAGAGTCCATGGGGTTGCAAAGAGTCAGACATGACTGAGCGATTTTCACTCACTCACTCGCTCACCATTACAAGCCAAACGTTATTCTAAGCATTTGATTTAAGAGATACCATGGTAGCAGTCTAGGATTCTTTTCTTGAGAGTATGTGGAAGGAAAATTTTAGCCATCAACAGAATGATTAAAAATGACTTTCCTCCTTGGTCTTCTTTCTCCTTACTCATAAAACTTGAACTAAAAGTGAACCCCTCAAAGTAATCCACTTTTAACCTCTGAAGGACTAGCTGTCTAGCTACAAAAAGTTGGTCAACATTACTATCTTCTCTGATGTCAATCAAACTTGAAAATTAAACCAAGCAGGATAAAATTAAAGCCCATATTCCTCTTCACTGCAGCATTATTCACTATAGGCAAGACAAAAGCAACCCAAATGCCCACTGACAGCTGACTGGATAAACAAAATGTGGTATATACACATATACAGGAAATACCATTCAGCCTAAACAAAGAAATCCTGCCATACGCTACAACATGGAGGAACCTTGTAAACATTATGCTAAGTAAGTGAAATAAGCCAGGCACAAAAAGACAAATACTGTATGAGTCTACTCATATGAGGTACTTAGAGCGGCCAAATTCATAGAAACAAAGCTGAACAGTGATTACCAAGGGCTGGAGAGTGGGGAAAGCAAAGAGTTGTTTCATGAGTGTAAAGCTCCAACTCTGTAGGATGAAAGTCCTGGAGAACTGTTTCACAACAATGTGAATATACCATGGAACTGTACATTTTAAATGGTCAAGATGGTAAATTTTGTTGTTTTTACCACAATTAAAAAAAAATTCAAAGTCCAACAAAATACAGAAAAGCTAGGTGCTGAATTTGAACTTCTAACAAGCTAGGTCACTTGTCTGATCCTGAATTTGTTTCTATACTCGAGCTGGAGAGAACCTGCTGCACTGCCTAGTCCCACCAGAACTCAGGAAGCACTAGTTTTACACCAGGCTGATCCCAGCACTAAAACCTGAAAGCTTAACCATGACACTATCCCCTCAAAACATACAAAATATCCCACTTCTCACTTTATAATTCCATTTTTTCCCTCCCTTCTGCTTTATATCTAAGACACTATTGATAACTACCACCTTTAGACTGCAGAAGAATGATTTTTCAGTGGAAATCCACCAGTGGACACAGGCCACTCAGAGAAAGCCCACACCAGGTCAAATGCTAAAAATCCCCCATATAAACAAACATGACCCACAGGAATATCCAGAATATAGGTGTTTTTTTTTGACCCCTGAAGTCAGTGGACATTCATCACAATGAGAAGTTATCGTTTATTTTATTTGTTCATTACCTGCTTCTGTCTCTCCCACCAGAATGCATGCTCTGTGAGTGTACTAGTTTTGTCTGTGTGGTTCACAATAACTAGCCTAGCCATAGTAGGTATCTAAGTATTCATCGAGTACATGAAAACTGATCAGGTATGTCAGAGGTTAAGGACCAGAAACTCTAAAGAAATTGCAACTTGAGTTCTACATCAGGAAAGAATTCAGTATTTGCTCTGCCAGGATGCTAAAACCTCTGGTGCAGGAATGATATATCTAACTGAGTGCTCCTTCAGCCATTTGCTGAAATGGCACCAAACAGAACATTCTTCATTATGGATATAACATCATACTCTCCCTTTTAATGCTTCAGATTCATCACTGTGCCTGACTCAGTAACTATTTAATAAATACTTACTTGTTGTCGAATTAATTGCCCAACAGTTTTCACCGGGTCCTAGAAACCTGGCAGGCCCACTAAATCAGGTCACAGAAAAGAACTACAGCTTCTGGGGGAAAGGAAGCCCTGCATTCTCTAAAAGATCTGCCTCACACTAAACAGTCTCCAAGTCAAAGCATCCACAGGCCTAAAGAAAGCCATTAAAAAAAAAAAAAAATCCATGTAGTTACCTCACCTAAAGTAAATTAAATCTTCATCTTCCTACCCACAGGTCAGAAATGAACTATACCTTTGTAAATGTGCTTGAGATTAAAAATGCTTTAGCCTAAGTTTTGGTTATTCATCTCAAAGCTCGTTAAAAGTCTCTCACTCTTCCTTACCACTGTTAAATTTCGGATTTCTTCCATGACACGAGGCCAGAAGGACTGCAGGCTCTGCTGGGCATCGCTGCTGCTAGCACCACCAAATCCTCCTTCTGTGGACATTCTGACAGCTAAAAACAAACACACACATGACACACGTTACAGATAATAAAGTCAGGCTTTATATCTATTTTTATCTTTCCTTGTGGATGTTTTCACTAATTCATTCAGTTTTTCAGTCTGAGAAGATAATACAATTGTGCTGAAGAGGTTTTTCACACCAACTTAAGTCTTGGCAAAAAATAAGGAATGTTTTCCCTTTCCTCCAGCTTATATCACAGAGACTAAGAAGAAGCTGAAATCAGAAAATCTAAAATTCCTAGGGGAAAAAAATAAATAAATGAATACACACACACACACACACACACACACACACACACAAAAAAACTGCTAGAAACCCAAACTCAAATCCTAATGTGAATCAAGGACTTTTAATGTCTTATTCTGAAGAGAAGGGAAAAAAAATGTACTGTGTTGCCCTGGGGCTGTTCATAGTTTTCAGTGCCGTCCTCTCCAGTGTTTTCAAGTTCTATGTGGCTTCTCTGTGCTACAGCCTGCAGCACATACATTAAGAGTCCCAGGTGACTAACACTGTACATAAATGTAAACCAGAGTCTTAAGACTAAGAGCCAAGTTCATTCTGCTGTTTTAGTCACTGTGGTCCCATTTCTTTGGGGCCGACGATTATTATTCTTTCTAATCTCAAACTAATCTGCCTCAAAGGACACAAAATCTGTAAAGCCCAGGCCAGTAATTGAGTGGATGGCACAAAGTCTTTGAAGTCACTTCCAGTTCTTCCCTTACCTGAACCTTGTCGTCAGGCACAAAGTCAAACAAAGCCCACCAGCAATTGGAAGCTTTAAAGACGGTTGAAAAACAACGGGGAATTAAATTCAGTACAGAAAGAAGAGGACCAAAGTTTGGTCAACTGCTTTGTCATGAGGGAAGGAAGATGAATAAGGATCACTGCACCAGCTATATCTATACCATAAATATAGATAATACAGTAATGTTTGAAAAGATTTACAGAGGGAAAGTAAAAAACTGCAGATGGCTTAAATGTTTATCTGGCAAATACTTAAATCTAAAAAACACTTTAATTAAACACAAAGAACAATAAACTTTAGTGATATCCCAAGAATTTCTATTCTGGGAAATTACTCAAAAAGATTTAACATGGCAGTGACAGGACGCTGGCGGAGAGCTATGGAAGTCTTTAAGAACTAATTCTGAAGGGCTGAAAGAAAAGCAGCAAGGCCAGGTGTCACATGACCAAACTGCTACTTCCCTGGGTCCATGTGGATGCATGCTGGGCAGATCACTCTATGAGCAGAGTGGATGAAGGCTGATAAATCTAAGTTTAGACTGTGAGGATGTCTGATTCACTCCTAAATGTTTGCTTGGGATTGTCCTAGAAATCTCTGATATTTTTTTTTTTTTCCTTTTTCTTCTAAAGGAAATGATGAGAGGAAAGAACAGAAGGAAAACAAGCGTACAATCTTCAAAGCAGATTTCACTCTGGTGTAATGACATTAGTGGGTGATGATGTAATGGGAAAAGGTTTGGAGCCAATTTCTGGTGCTGGAGGCCCACAAGCAGCTCTATACATCAGCAGGAACTCTAAGTCCTAGGAAGCAATATGATCCTGGAGTTTCTGGAGGGAATTAAAGTGAAGAGTTTTGAATCGTTGGAAATGACTAGATTAAAATCTTGAGTCCTAAAAAACCAAGTAAGAACATTTCAGCTCAGCTCCCATGACATCTTCACTTATCACCATATGCACGTGACCTATACACTATTCTCTTAGATGTACTGAGAACAAAGAAGTCAAGGTAATCTAGAGAAGTTTAGTTATTTATTTTTATTAATAGATTCTTATAAGGTACTCATGACAATGATGAGAGTGAGAATCTAACCTTTTAAAAAGGGGCAAATAAAACTTTTCCAGAAATGAAATTCATTATCAAAAAACTTTAAAAACGAATCTAACCTTTTACTGTATGGACCCAAGGAGAGGCCTGATCTTACAGAATCTGCCATGTAAGCTGCTATGGTCAAAGAAGGAAGAGGCATAGTTGCCAGTGAGATACTCTGTATAACTTGCTAATGAGAAGCAGGATTCCTCTGAGTGCAAAGGTCTTTAAGATTTACAAAGCTGGTAACCAGTTTTGACTATCCTCTGATCTCCTCCCACAAATGTTATCAAGGTACATAATTCAAGAAGCATTTTTAAAACCATCTGCGCATAGTCTGCTTTTAAATCTTGAATGGCCCCAACTAAGCATGTGCTGGTGCAATCAGTTCCCAAACATCTGTGCAGTCAATAGTTTATGAATGAATCTTTGGCTGGCTCAGAGCCACACACTGTTGGAGTGGGGGTGCGCACAAAACAAAAGTTAAAAAAATCTTTCTGGAACTGACAAACGTATTAAAGGTTATTAAGTTTTTAACTTGAGAGACCCATTCTGAATTAGAAAACCATAAATGGATAATGGCAAAAAAATCCAAATCAATAATAATGTTCTTTACATTTAACTGCCTTATAGAACTTTAAAACGGAGGAGGGGGTGCTTTAAAAACCACCCAGGTTCAGCTGCTCTAAAAGATGCTCACAGCTCTACTTCAACCTCTGCCTAGCTCCCTCAATCCATGGAAACATGAGCTCCTCCCCCTACAGTTCTGAGAACCTGGCGCACTGGCTAGGCATTCTTTTCCATCTTTGGACAGCTCTCACTGCTCTTCTTTACATTAAGTTGAATTTACAAACAAAGGATCATTTCACCTTTGGATGCAGTTACAACTTTTATGATTTCTCCATCCAGAAACCTCCTTTCATAAATTCCTGACTTCAAAAAAACAAAGGTACTGTACTCTCCTCATCAAGGACAGAAGATCTTTTCATGAGGAAAAAGAGAAAATGGTTTGGAGCATGTTTTCTAGCATCTTTGCACAGAAATAATTTGTAGATAATTCTCAGTATCTCTTGGAAGACCATAAATTGTTACTATAAATTCCTAGAAAAGGTGAGTATTTTTATTCAAACGGCTTTCCTTAAAGCAGATCCAGTCTTCACACGGGCCTTTAAAAATTAGACCAAATCTCAAGCAACAGATTTTATGAAAATAAGCTAGTATTCTCAATATTTTCTGACCGTGGCACAACTTAAAATTAGAATAATAAAACCTAATCATAAACAAATTTTGCTCACTAAACACCCAAGTTGAAAAACATAAAGTAACTTATCACTTATTTTAATAATACATTAATTACAACTAAATTGATTTTGCTACAGAAGTAGCCTATTTGTAACATCTACAACCCATGGAAAATATGCCAGGTTCATCTTCTAGAATGATGAGAAAGGAATGGATTTAAAAGTAAGAAAGAGATTTATATTCCAGGATCCTTTTTACTCCATGTTAAATTGCTATTGCTATCATGAGATAAAGCTATTTACATACACTAAGACCAAGCCGCATTAGCTGACTCTTTTGAAAAATGGACAATAGTATTTCGCAGATTTAATTCATAATTAATATTAGATTTATCATTCATGTTCATTAATTAGTTTATAAATACCCGAATAAGAGTGCCTGATTAATTATTCAATAAAGACTTAAGAATCAGATAAAGTATTGAATGGTTGTTGCTATAAGAAATCTCAACTCTCATTATCTTTTAATTTATCTGGTTTTAAACACAGCTTCCTTTCCATAACTAAAATGGGAAGAATCAAAGGCCACCAGGAAAAGGCCATTTCTCCAATGCTCAAATCAACTGCCATCTCTCCCCAGGTCTCTAAATCACCACAAGTGATCACTCCTTCCATGAACCTTCAGAGCTCTTAATCTATACTTCTTCCTGCCCTCACCGCATTACCTTGTATGATCATTATTTATGTATTTCTTACCACATTTCCCCTTCTGGTTTATAAGCTTCTTGTGGGTAGGACATGAGTATGAGTCATCTCTGGAATCCCTCACAGCACCTAGCACAAAGTCTGATAAATAATTACTTCTGAATGAAGGAGAGTTGTTGCATATGTACTTTCTGAGAAAAAAGAGGCCTCTTGGGAAGCCTGGCTCTGAAATAAGATTTATTGGGACCGCAAATTATTTTAGGAAGTTCAGAATGTATGAGGTTCTCACTGGGCCTTTAAAGTGTTAGTAGGACTACAATCAGAAAGAAATCCACGTGATTTGCTGAAGTGAATTTAAGATAAAATGAAGGAAGAGGACAGACAGACACACACACACATGTCCTGGAAGTTTCAAGGCAGACCAGAAGGCTGGAAACATCGGTGTGTACTATTCCACCGCATAAAACTCTTGAAAGTCAGAATCTTCTCAGAAAGGTGACCAGGACAGATGAGCAAAGTTTGAAAAATTAATGACAAGTAAGTAGGAGGAGAAAGGGGGTGGGGAATACCTCTGTTTGGCCATCCACTGCCAGGAAGATAAGGAGAAAATCATGCAGAAAATGAGATGATTCAATCAAATCACTCAAGGGCACACAATCTAACTGTCATTCAAATATCCAGTTACTCTTTATCATTCTTGAAGAAAGAAGACTTAAACAGTTTTCAAAACATCTCAAAAGCAGAGTGCTCCTCCTTTGAGATTCTCTTGGAAGTCTTTCAAGCTCTTGGTTTTGACCAGGGACCAGTCTTACCAAATCCTCCCTGAGTGACATGCTGGACATGGAACAGGATGCATCAAAATGATCAAGCTCACAAAATACAAAGAAACATAAGGTTTTACTACAATATCCCCTAGTCTCTAAAACTCTGCGCTTTTAGAGCTAAAGCCTATTTCTTGGCATATACCTCACTCTCTCTACAAAAATCCTTTGTAATATGTCTAAACCCACATATAGCTCTCTAAAGTAGTAAAACCAAACAAATGTTGTTGGGAGACAATACCTAAATCCCTATCATCACAACAACTATTCATGGAAAAAAGACCACAGGAAACTCCCCTAAAATGAAGACCAATCTTTGATCAATGCTGCTTCTTATTAAAATACTAGAGCTGCCCCATTCCAGGTAGTCAAATTTTACTTAAAAATAATG